TCTCGCTTTCAAAAAAAAGGTTCTGTAGTATGAGTTCTGGAGGCGTTTTCGTCGCTGGAGCACGAGTCTCTGTCGCCAGTGCTGGAGTACGCACGCCGCCTGGTTTGGGTTTGGTTTAGGGGGGGCACCGTCGATCAGCTGGTGCAGTTGTACCTTACCGGTGAGTTGCACGCACAAAGCAGCAGCAGCGGTTATTTGCTTGCTCGGCCATTCTCCTGATGGTACTTCCAACATCGTACACTCTGCGTACGCTCCTGTTTCTAACTGCTGCAGTACTTCTGTCGTACGCCAGCAAACCTGCGAGCGGCATGAGGATATCTGTAGTCACGGGAGCAAATAAAGGTACGACATAGCGCGGTATGAGGACGGCTGCACACGTTGTAGACTACAATGGCTGCATTCCGTATATGACATAAGATAGCACACCCCCTGAACCGATTTTTCAAAGCTCGATTTCTCCACACCAGAAAGAGTTGTAGCGCCGAAAACGGCGGCGGTGAAACCATCTGGTCAAGAGCTATCCGAAAACGCATTGTTTCGGTTATGCATGTTCTTCGTCGTCGAGTGATCGAGCTTACAAAGTCGGTCCAAGGGGGTGTGTTATTTTGTGTCCTACACGGTATTCTGCTGTCCCATGTGTGAAAAAGCAAAAAGATCCGCATGTGCCCCTATCGTAACAAGAAAATAAGGGGCGCCTGCATGGGTTGAAAAGGGCGGTCAATCGTTTTTGGTCAGGTTAGTCCGATAGCCCAATGTGTTGCGGTTGGAAAGCAGGGGTGGAGATAAATTTACCACTGTACTGGGTGCGGTCGACAACCGTAGTCTACTGCTGTACTCGATGATGTTTCTCTTGGGAGTAGAATCAACGGGCCATTTCGAGGTGAAATTACCCGAGGGCCACCGGCACATGGGATAAAACGCCTCCAGCACGTCAAACTCTTCGTTTCTCTGCGTGGAATCGTCCAACAAGGATCTCGCAGTTGTTAGGTCAACTGACTCTTGATGGAGGACCAGATGTCATGCTACACGCAGCAAGATCACAAGTCATTATTTTTCGGGTAGTTAGGTTACTTTCAGTGTGGTGTCAATACTTCAGTGGTAGCCTTGGCAGGGTTTTTCGATGATTTATACATGTTGGACGGACAAGGCCTACAATCGGGGAAGTTGGGTTAGGGTTAGGGAATAGGGTCTGCGTACCCCCCTCCCTGTTCTTTTTCCTCATAAAGCTAACATATTAATCTCGCGAAGGCGGTCCTGGCGCGTCCTGTGCTCTCCTTACTTCCTTGCTTGTGTTCGGTTTTCGAAACACGGAACCAAGGAATCGGCCACCCCAGAAGGACCGAGAGAGCGCGTCGCGCACAATAAACAGAACGATAGGAAGCTTTACCACTTCGAGTAGGCGTAGCCTGACCACTGTTGTTGTACCCGTACCGACGGTAGTTGGCCGACCCCTCCGCCCTATCCCGACGGTGTTGTCGAAAATACCACCTTCGGTATGTATTCTGAGACACAAACCCCGCCGTGCATCTGCTGTCATGTGGGTGGCTGGTTGGACGGCCCTTGGGAGGGACAGGGATCGGTCTCGCCATCGCCAAGAAGCTCGCGGGTGCCCCCGGGCACTTGTGCGTCCTGACCTCCCGCACGCCAGCCCTCGGCCAGAAGGCGGTGGACGACCTCAAGGCGGAGGGGCTGGAGTCGGTGCTCTACAAGCAGCTGGATATCGGAGACCCGGCCTCCGTCGAGGTCGGTACTTTTTTTTTTGTTGCTACTCTTTTTTGTTGTTTCTACAGTACAGTAAGAGCGACTGTGTTCCTATAATAGGCAGGGGTGGTGGTCGAGAGAATGGAGAGAGAGTCACACGTACGTGTAACGTAAACGGCCGCTTTTTTTGTGTGTGTTGTCACCGTAGTCGGCCTCACAGAGCGGGGTAATGCCGGGTGGGCAGCACGAGAGACCGCCCGAGAGCATCCAGAGGAAAGGGAGGCAAATAACGGTTGCAGCGAAGAGCCTCCCCGCTCGACTGAGATGGAGGAGTGTGTTCTGTCGTTGCAGGGTAATAAGCGCTGATCTAAAGTGATGAGAGAAAAAAGAAAAAACAAAGGTAAGGGGGTACCGTTGGGCGATGAAGAACGGCAGTGTCAAGGGGACGGACGCGAGTTCCCCCATTTTGGACGTCATTCGTCTCGCCTCTGCTCTGCTGCCATTCGCTGTCATTGTGTACTCCGTGTTGTCTCGTTATTCGTGGCTTGCCCCCGTGACCCTATAGTACAGCAGTGCTTTCGAGACCTGCTTACGCACCGACCCTTTTTGTGTTTTTTTTTTGTCTGCTGTTCCTTTTTTTCGAAGCGCTTCGCCTCGGAGTTGGAGCAGGAGTTCGGGAGGTGCGACGTCCTCGTCAACAACGCGGGGATCGCCTTCAAGGGTTCAGATCCGACCCCGTTCAAGTGAGAAGAGGAGGGAAAGCGAGAGAGGGACGGGGAGAGAGGCAACCAGGCAGAGAGGCTGACGCTGAGAGCCAGAGCTAGCTGTGTGCCAACGCTGCCGTGTGTGGTTCCTCCGTTCCCTCTCTCTTTGTCGCCTTGAGCGTCGCCTCTGACGTACAACTCGTTCCAGCATTCCAAGAAAAGAACGTTGTACTCCATGCCTGGACTTTGAGATATATTCTACCCTGGTTGCAAGCCTCTCCATCATGGTCTGGCGGTTTTCGACACGGGGCTTGTTCCTAGTACAAAAGGAAACCCGAAACGCGTGTGTTTCCCCCCGCCCCTCAAAAACAAAATTCTCATTGAGATATCGGGACAAGGATCATGCTTTGGAACTCCACCAGCTGTTTCCAGAATTATCGGTCATCTTGACCAGGAAGTTGTGGGTAGACCACGACGGGCTTATTCGTGGGCAGCAGCAGGATTGCTAGTAAAGGAGAGGCACACCGGAGGGAAGACACCGCTGCAACTTTTCGGTTTCGAAGCGCTGCCTTATCGCGAAAACCAATGAAGATAGAGAGAATTTCCAGCCGCTGTTCTGATTGTGCGGGCCGCATATGGATGGATAGGCGGGTCAAGCAACCTGAGTTTGACGGTATCTGAACGTGAGAAGCGCGCCACCATGGGAGCTAGTCAAGAACTCCAGGCTCATGACACAATAAATCCAGGAATGAATCTGATCATGCTGAGGACAGGTGCTCGATCACGGAGCCTATCCCGAGGCCCTGTATAGTCGATGCCGAGTTTCCTGTTCCCCCCGAGAGAGACGAAGAAGCGAGCGGCGGGCGAAACAAGATGTTCTCAAGTGGTGGGGCGCTCTTAACTCCACAACTTTCAATAGTTTCTTGAGATTCACGACCCTTGTTGGAAGCGATAATCGAATAGGTTTACCGCCCGTTTGACTGAACCTTCACCCTTGACCGCTCTCTCTCGTGTCGTGCGCTGCTGTCCAGGGATCAAGCGGAGCCGACGCTGAAGACGAACTTTTTCGACACCGCTGCGTTCACGGAGAAAATGCTCCCGCTCGTGAGAAAGTGAGGTGGCTTCTTGGAATCATTGAGGGGCTCGACCCCCCCCCCCCCCCCCCCC